ATAGAGAAAGCCTATGATAGAGCTTGGAACTATGGAATTATGAAAAAGATACATCAAATTGGTTTACGAGGACTCCTCCCTAGATTTATTCAAAATATCTTGACGCATCGATCTTTTCAGGTAAAATTTAACAACACATTTTCTGAAAAAAAGTATCCAGATCTAGGTATTCCACAAGGAAGCATTTTATCACCAAAACTTTTTTGTTTACTTTTAACATCTTCCAAACCATGCTTCAATATTCACAGCAGAAATCATTGCCATTCAGATGGCAATAAACTTCATATCTAAATCCAATAGTAAAAATTTCATAATATTCTCAGATTCATTATCAACAGTTACGGCGCTTAAACAATATAAACCTCAACACAAACTTATAATTCAAACGCAAAACAGAATACATGATAACTTAAATGATAACAATGGTAAGAAAATAACTCTGATATGGATACCCAGTCACATAGGAATTCAGGGTAATGAGGAAGTCGAACATCTAGCATCACAAGCTCACAATATTCCAATATCAAATCTTCCCATCCCACACAATGATTTAAGATTTTGGACAAAAAAGGTTTCAATGGAGAAATGACAACTTGAATGGAACCAAACATCAAACTTTCTTAAATTATCCACACCATTTCTCAGCCAAAAAAATGAATTTAAAGGTTTAAAACGTAAACCTCAGACAATTATCAACAGATTAAAAATAGGCCATTCAAGTTTGACTCATTCCTGGATTCTCAACAAAACAAATTCGCCTACATGCAACTCTTGTAACGAAAAACTAACTATCCATCACATTTTGGTCAAATGTAATAGTCACAATAATAGTAGGAAACGACATGCCATCCCTTCAGAAGTAGAACAATTTTTTTCCAGAGATAAAATCAATAATCTAATATTATTCCTTCAGGAAATACAAATTTTTAATAGAATTTAAAAATAAAGTTTTAAAACAACAAAACGCATTTATAGAAATGGAACAAGGGGCGTAAAGATAGCCAGTTGAGCTGAAACGCCTTTAAACTGCACAAACAAACAAATTCAAAATTTCTGTTTATACTAAAACAAGTGATAAAGAATTTTTGTGAATGGACTGAGTGAATGCAGCGAAGCTTACTAAACAAGCACGGTCTCATCATTTGTTAATCGAGCCTTCACATATTCTACAGATCCAGAGGATAGAGTAGCTGAACTAAAACGGATAACCAACATGCTAATTAACAATGGTTACAAAAAAACATTCATTGAAAATATTATTAGCAAAAAAGATCGTGACGTAACAAACAAAAGTAACAATGATAAAACAACAAATGACATAATACTTTATTACAAAAATACGATGTCGACAGACTATAAATTAAAACTTAGGATTTATTACACAAACAACAAAACCTTATCCCTTGTTCTAAAAAATAATTGCAATACTAAACCAGAATCGATAATGTAGAGTAGTCATCTAGTATATTTTTTTGATTGTAAAATCGGTGATTGTAGGCAACGAAACACAGAATATATTGGATTTACTAATACGACTATATCAAGAAGGTTAGCAATGCTGGTGCAAGAAAAAATTATCTAATGGAATATCTAATAATAATATATATCTAATCACACCAAATAAAAATAACAATATATTAAACTCAAATACCATAAGTGTTATATTACAACCATAATATAAGTAATTCGAGAATGGTAGAGGCTTTATTAATAGAAAATAGAAACCCTGTAATAAACATCCAACAACAGTAACGATCCTAACAAACAAAGAAATTACTCACACAAAGAAACAATAGAACTTAGAGTTTCTTTGTTAAAAATACTGTAAATACCAGATGAACTACATATAACAATATCACAAACTCTATTGCACTGATGATGATAGAGGTTACCAAAAAAAAGCTTTTATCTCAATGTATATATGAAAAATGCGGTATAAAATAATTTAGAAATTATATTAATATTAATTAGAATAAATTGAATAATTTTGATAAAATAATTGTTCGAAAAATTGAAAAGCTTAGTTACAAACTTAACAATGCGGAAAATGCGGTGATATTTCTTAATAACTATTTAGGAATAGCACTGCTTACTCCGATTGTGAGTGGAGACCATAAAAGGTGTCATAAACAAAGCGGCTTTAACCCATTCTGTCGGTACACTACGGTTGACTGTATATCCAAATTGTGGTAAAAACAAGGATAAAAAGAAAAGAACACAAAGCAGACATCTGCTGAAATTGGCGGCAGGGAATGTCCGCACACTTCTGAACAAAAAGTAGCATTATGAAAGCCGGTCTAGCACGCACGCGAAAGCACGCGAGCTAGCACGTTGCGGCATTGATGTTGCTGCGCAAAACGTTTTGATTAGCAAAACGAGGATTTCTGCATCAACTCAGTTTAAAGCAAAGGAAGCGGGATACACCTTTTTTAGTCAAGATTATCCGGTTAGTGAGACCAGAATACACAAAGCTGGATTTGCCAATCCTAGCTCGCTATTGAAAACACTTTGTGAAACTCCGTGTGGTATATCACGCGACGGATGAAGTTGCAGCTGGTCTTACCAGATGGAAACGAAGCTACATTTATCAGCTACTACGCTTGTACACTGGGTTCAACGCAGGAAGAAAATTTATAGGAAACAGAAGAAAAGGACTCATTTTACGAACAGCTCAGTGATGTTGTCGCTTCAATCCTTTTCAAACAACAACTATTTGTCTTTGGTGATTTTAATGCCCAGGTTGAATGCGACCAGAGGCTATGGCAAAAAGTACTGGGACACAGCGGTGTTGGCAAAAAATGAAAATGATACTATGCTGCTTGAATTATGCAAGAAGTAAAATTTTGCCGTAACCAACACAATTTTTTAACAAGCAAACAAAAAGAAAACTAACTGTAAACATCTACATTCAGGCCACTAACATTTAATTGATTACGTCCTCACGACGTAGCGCCATCTTCACTACGTTCGTTTCACCAAAAAATAGGCACTACAACTGATGAAAACAATAGTGCTATTATTAGTGAAACTTGACAAAAAATGCACAAAGCTGTTAGGGATAAAAAGCTAGATGTTGCCAAATTGGACGACGAAAAAATCAAGAAATCATTTTGTTTTTTTTGACGTAACACCGGCTAACGGTGATAATCACTGGCTTAATTTTAAACGGACCGTGTATGAAGTGGCGTCAAATGTCATCGGCTTTCGGCAACACGCCCACCAGGATTGGTTCGATGATCAAGACAAGGAGGCTTGTCGGCGCAAAGAAAACATTCTATTCTAATGTTTGTAATCTAGCATAAAAAAGCTTCGACAATTAAAGGAATCTTAGTGGGTGGAAAAGGAATAAAAACTTCAAGCCGCTGCGGGCCATAATGATCCAAAATCATTCCGCAAAAGTTGAAAACTGTCTACGCTCACGAAATTCTGGCATTATTGTGGTTTGCTCACATGATGGTCTGACGCTCATTAGAGATGGTCCAGGTATATTGGCTCGCTAGACCAACTATTTTCAGGATGTGCTAAATCAAAAACTTTATTTGACAAAACGGTGTTTTCCAAGATTCCGCACTGAAGCTAGGCCGACCATTTTTAGGGTGTGCTAAATCAAAAAACTTCATTTGACAAAACGGTGTTTTCAGAGATTCCGCACTGAAGCACAAATAATAAACTCTGCAACACACCCGGTTCTCATGAAATTAAAAAAGCAATCCACCAAATAGCGTTTCAGGAAAAATAATAGCCCGAATCATTTTTAATCGGCTAACAAAGCACGTGGACAAGCTAGGCATCCTTCCTAAAAGCCAATGCGGCTTCCGATCCAGACGTGGTACGATGGACATGAACTTTGCAGCTAGGCAAACGCCGGAGAAGTGCCGCAAGCAACAGAAGGATCTTTTCGTAATCTTCATCAACTTGTCAAAAGAGTTTGACACAGTTGGACAGGTTTGTACTGTGGGGATACCTTAAAAATAGGCTGCCCTCCAGTCGTTGTAGCCCTAATCCGCTCTTTTCATGAAGATATATAAAAGTGAGCGTTGTTGAAAATAGCCAGTGCTCTCCAAACTTTAAAATAGCCAACGGGACAAAACAGGGCTGCGCGCTGGCCACTCTACCGTTCAATATTTATTTCTCTTTGAAGTTACGAGCCGCTTTTCAAAGTTGCAATTCGGGTGTTCCAATTTGTTATCGCATCGATGGCGATGTCTTCAACATCAGACGCTTGCAAGCAAAGACAAAAACTTTGACGGCCACCGTTCGTGATCTTCTCTGTGCTGATGAGTGTGCTCTGGTTGCACATTCGTCTCTAGAAATTCAGCTGCTGTTCAATCGTTTTGACGAAACAGCTAAAAGATTCTGACTAACAATCAACCTGAAAAAAACAGAAGCCTTATGTCAATTGTATACTGTGTCTCCATAGGCTGACGTGATGGTGATGCTCATCGGCGTTTGGAGTGGAAAAAGAAATGCAAGTCTGTGATCGATGGATTTGAACGAAAACGAATCTTTGCACTTGATGATGAAAGAAAACTGTTCATCGCGTTTACAAAAATTTGTGTGTTTGTTTAATTGTGTTTTTGGTGATATGTTGTTGTTGGTGACGGCAGAGGAGCGTAGGTCTATCAGTTTTGTTTACGGAGATGCCTGTCGAGAATTGGACTCTGCTCACATGAAGACCTGTTGAGGAATGTTCGATTTATTATTTCGCTTTTGTTGTCGAATTATAAATTGGACAATTTAAGACGTGTAGAAATAATTTTATTTTATTAACCAAACAAACGTAACAACGGAAGAGGAAAAGTAAAACCAAGAAGTAGTAGTAGTAATAATAAATTAAATTTAAGCATGGATATTAAAATTAATAATAAAACTAATAATTGTTTAAAATGCTTAAAATAACTATACATAAATTAAATTTAAGCATGGATATTAAAATTAATAATAAAACTAATAATTGTTTAAAATGCTTAAAATAACTATATATATATATATTTAATCCCTTACAATACTCTCCCATTCAAATGGAAAAATGTTTGTTTATTGTGTTGACTTTGATTTCTCCACTCTTCTTGGAAGATATGGTTGTTGGTACCAATATGGCTGGCGTTGATTTTGTCTCTCGTGATGATGTTGTTTTTGTCGCTTATAATGTAGTTGATGGTTCTGCTGTAGCTGACATTTAACTTGTTTTTTAAGATGTCGATGATGTTTTTAGTGATGATGTTGTTGGTGATGACGTTGTTGCTGATAACGTAGTTGACACTTTGGTTGTTGGTTCGAACTTGTTCTGACCTCTCATGCAAAGTTTTGTCCAGCTTCAAGCGATTTCTAGAATGAGATGAGTGTGAGGACGATGAACTATGTTCTGTTTTTCTCCTTGTAATGATCTTGCTGCTGCTGCTGTTGAACAGGAGAAGGAAGAGAAAGAAATGGAAGGAGAGAATCGTTCATGTGTGAATTTGCTGATAAGATATTCTGCTCAACATTTTGCTGTTGTGATTGTTGGATGCCATTTTTATCTTTGTTCTTGCTCAGAACAACTTTCATTTCAATGAACTCTTTTGGTGGCTGCCCCTCTTCAATTTTGTTTACGTTTTCAGGATTCAAATTTATTTTAAAAAGCTTTCTTTCTCGGGACTGGTTGGAACGCATTGGTTGGTTTCCACCCGTGTCAATGATGTGCTCAACCGTTGACGTCTTTTCGATTTGTTTATCATTTCATTATCGTTTGCCGAAGCGGTTTCATTGGTTATCGCGTCGATTAATTTGTGGTCGGTGCAGTCAACGTTCATCGAGATGTTTGCGCTGTCATTTGCAGTCTTATTTTTAATATGTTTTTCAACAGTTAAATTTCTCAGTTTTTTCAGGTCAAAATTCTTTTGAGCCGCAATAACCTGTGAAACTGATGACTGCAATACCTGTGGAAATTGCTTTGGTTTGGTTTATTTAAATGTTGATAATAACTCTACTTTTAGAACGTCGTAATCTGTTCCTCTTTGCAAATATAGTGACAAAGTTGAAACTACATCCACCGACAAGGAAATTATTACGTGATAGAATCTTGTTTTTTTTTTAATACCACGTTCCGCAATTGATATTGCACTTCGGCATTCTCGAACCAATTTGTTGACGCCGTTTTCTTGAAAGGAGATAATATTGCGATCGGGTCATCATTTGGTTGAGACATTTTGTTTTCGTTTTTAAATGTTCGATTTATTATTATTTCGCTTTTGTTGTTGAATTATAAATAGGACCATTAAAGAAAAGTAGACATAATTTTATTTTACTGAAAAAACAAACGTAACAATCTGGTACTAACGTAAAAAAGGAAGAGGAAAAGTAAAGCCAAGTAGTTGTAGTGATAATGATAAATTAAATTCAAACATAGATATTAAAATTAATATTAAAACTAATTAATAATTAAAATGTTAAATGTTTATAATATACCCCACAGACCCACCACCGATGAGACAATCGGTCGTAACTACGGTGTTGTGTGTGTGTATGTGCGTGTGTGTATGTGCGTGTGTTTGTTTGCTTGTGTGTGTGTGTAGATGTGTGTGTGTGTGCTAAGAAATATATATCACTGCATGATTCTGGTTCAATTTTTTAATATTTCATATCATATTTTTATCATTGTTTTTTAACTTATTTATATAGAAAACAAAGTTTATAATTAATTTATTATTCATTTTTATCTTGTACTATAAAACATTTTTACGGCAATCCTTAACCATTTTCAATGCAGTATGTTATCAAATATTGGATTGTATTATTGATATACTTATATCTGTGCGTTCCTACATTATTGGCTCCAGAATATCATTTTGTGTTGATTCATCATTTCTCTTTATTAGTAGTTTTTCTGACGGTAGTAAAGTTACTGCATCCTGTTAAATATTTATTACAGGGTTCTCTTTGTTTATGTAACTTGCTAATGCAATTTTGAGTTGAAATGGATTCCTGTTGGGTTTCAGTATCTATATTATTGTTGGGTAATTTTCTAATAATTGCTCTTCCGTGATTACCGATTACATGATTTTTTATTGTACCTTTTTATGTATGTATAACTAATCTTCGTGTCAATGTGGTGTCTGAAATATTTTGAATTACGGTGCCTTCATTCGCCGATAGGACATTAAAGGAATATATCTGGTGACTAAAATTGAACCAGAAACTGATCAAAGCTGGAAATGGAGTAATATTTTTTAAAAATTGTAACAATTAACAGCCTCAACCCTAACTTTTACATATATAACAACCAAAGTTTTATTTAAAGAAACTATATAAACCAAACATGCTCTGAAGTAGATTTATGACAAATCGAAATAAGGCCTTATCTGCATGATGAATTCGGATAACAACAGTTTCATTAAATTTCTTAATGAACTTGAATAATTCTATTTACAACAAATTGAACAACTTTCAGAAAATTCTAAAAAAAAACATTGAAAAGACAAACTTTCAATTGAATAATGCCAACAATTCGGTAGAATTCATACAAAAATATATAAAATATGGTCTTCTTCCAATATAACAATTTATATATATATATAAATATATATATATATATATTAATATATGGTTTATATATATATATATATATATATATATATCTTAAATCTTATTCGCCAGGCTACTGACGAGTCTCGTGAGAGACGAAACGTACGTCTGGCCTAATGCGGTAATGGTTTACCAATAATATATATATATATATATATATATATATATATATATATATATAGATGGTCAAAACTGGGTAATGGTTTACCAATAATATATATATATATATATATATGTGGTTGAAACTGTCGTATATTCAATAATTTATAAATCTTAAAAATCATTGCGTTTTCGGCTTTAATCATCAATAATTCAGTTTTTCTATATGAAAAAATGTAACACTATTATTTAATTTATTTAATTATTCATTTAATATAAAAATGTATTTGGTAGTGAAATCGCTGACGACTTACGTAATCCATTTCTTCTGTTTAAGTTTAACGAATATTCCTTCTTTAATATCACTGGTCTTTGATTTTTTAAAGGGTTATTTTTTGAGGGTGACGCAGATGATGGCGAAGACGACGGTGGTGATGATGATGATGGAGAAGTGGCATTAGATAAGTGATTAGATAAAGTTAGCGATGATGTTGCTGATGATGTAGAACACGACAGCGCTGTACCATCTGATTTACTTTTCAACAAAGGATTCCGCTTCATCATTTATAACTCCGATGCTGTTTTTTAAGGCATTGATTTTTTATATTGTCGAATTAAAAAATTGTTAATTTTAAATTTCATTGAAGTCAAACAAGTATTAAAGAGTTTGAAAATTTTTAGTATGTTGATAATAATAATAATCAAATACAATTGAAAACCATTTGGTTGAAGTTAAATATGTTGTTGGTAAGCCTATTTAAAGAATTTTAACTGAAATACACTCACACAAACTGTATATTTAGCTCTAACAAGGAAAACTAGAACATGATATATATATATATATATATATATATATATATATATATATATATATATATATATATAATGCTGGTAAAACACCATAATTAATGCAGTAATTTATGAAATCTACCAAATTTCTAGCGTTGGATAGTTTTTTTTATTACAATATTTTAAACTAAATTCTTGCCGTCATTATTTATTTTATTAAAATTAGAATAATATAGAGTTTTCCGATTCATTCTTAAGTGTATAGGACCTATTTCGATTTTTCAATCATATTCAGCACTTGTTGCAGTTTATCTTGAGAATGTGTATAACACAGTACTTGTTGCAGTTTATATAGGGAATTTATATAACCCAGGGTTTTTGTTCCTGTGATTTGCATTTATCATTATTATTAATGTTAATTTTGCTATCTTCATTATTGTTATTATTTACTTTGTTAATTTTACTATCTCCTTTATTAATTGATATGATTTTTCTTTTTGGGCTAATTACTTTGGTACTATGTTTTATTGCTTCGGTGTTGTGTTTTATTGCTTTGATAGCACTTCGGTCGATGTTGTTTTCTTCGGTGTCTTCATCGGTACCATTGTTGATCTTATTATATTTTATTATAGTCCTTCTTGTTGGGAGTATAGTCGATGCGAATGGCTTCGGTTAATTTCAGATGGGAATGGCTGGAATTACAGTATATTATTTTGGTGTTGTTGTCCAGGATTTCTCTTGTAGTTTCAATATTGTGTGTGTGTTCTTTTTTATAGAATTTTCCCTTTTATGCATGGTCAGACGTCTAATTAGCGATTTTGTAGTTACTCTAATATATGAAACATTTTGATGTGCACAGCCGTCAAATCGACATGTAAATTCATATATCAGATGGCTACGTTTTTAGAGTCGAACCATGCTGAGAAATGCAGTTGTTGTTCATGGCAAAGTTTAATGTCTTTGCATTTCTCTAATAAATTCGTAATTTTATTTTTGTCAGAAGAGTTATTTGGTTTGACATTTTAAAAAATGATTTGTTTTAAGACGGATTCGTTCGTTTTGTAGTTGGTGTTCACATGATTCCTATAATAAAAGATGATGTCATCGTATGGATTATTATGTTCTGGACTGCTGAGTTGTTGTAATTTATTTTATTATCCTCGATCATTACTGTGCAGTGTGCAGTGTCCATTGTTTACCAAGAGATTCGTAATTCTTTTCAATTCCGCATCACGTTTTTTGTTTGATGATGAGTGGGTGGTTGACAAATGCTCTTGTTGTACTCATTATAAAGTGAGCATTTATTTTTTCTATTCATGCAAACGCCTTTATTTGTCGTATTTACATAGACTGCAGTTTCAAAGTTATGTTCATTGCGGGTGACAAGGACATCAAGAGAGTAAGGATATATCATTCTCATGCTCGATGGTGAAATTTACTTTGAATTTTTTGAGAACAGTGAGTAGTTCATTAACTTTATTAAGATTTTTAAATGATACAAAGATGTCATTAACTTAGATTGCATATATGTGAGGTTTGAAATTATATATATATATATATATATATATATATATATATATATATCCTCTTCAATTATCCTCTTCGTCCAATTAAAGGTCAAATCCCGACAGCCACCTATCCTATAGCAAAGCTTCTCAACAAAATCCTACCTCCGTACACCCCTAATGACTATAATCGACAATCTTCAAAAGAATTTATAAGTTTGTTGAACACAAACCAGCAATCCAATCAAATCGCTTCCGTAGAATCATTGTTTACCAATGTTCCCATCAAAGATACCATCGACATAATAATCATCACCGTTTACCACCTCAATCTAACCCCATTAACAATACCTAAACACATGCTAAATTCATTGTTGCAAAATTGCACCACGGAGGCACCATTCTACAGCCTCAATGGGAATCTATACAAGCTGATAGACAGTGTCACCTCTAGGTGTACCTTTTGCCAACTTCTATATTGATCATCTAGAAAAATCATTTTTGGAAACAGTTTGCATACATAACAATAAACACTTCCACTAGTTTCACTGAACACTAACCATTCACGTCTTTCTTTTTGGCCATTCGCCTTGGTCAAGTAAAAGTTATGTTCAGACAAATGACGAAAATATTGTCTGCCAAGATCTGTCATCAACATGCTAGCGCGTGAAAAGTCGCCAACATTTTTTGGTTTGAAATCCAAAACATAATTACGCATGGTTTCTGTCAATTTCGCTGGCCACATAACAATATCTGTCAAAATTTCACTACAGTTGTTATCAACAGTTTCGATACTCGCGACCTCTATAGAACCTTCAGCCGGCGGTTCAGATTCTGGCAATTCTGTTGGATAGGACTCAGAATCCATACTGGCTGTTGCCGAGACGACTGCACTTTGATTACCAGCTGTTATTTCTGTTTGAGTAGTTTCTGATGATGGGGTTACCGGTCGTTTCGCTAAAAATGTCAACAAGGCGCCTTCGTTTTTCGCATCTTCTGCTTTTCTTTTGAATATCACGTTTTTTTGCACCTGAGGGATATTGTCTCATAGACATTGTTTTAATGAAACGATTGTGTTGCAATCAGCAGCAGAAAAGAAAAATGATCATTCATCCACAGAGTGAAATTATTAAAATAGTGTAATAAACTGGCAATTAACAATTAGTTATTGCAAAAAATTAAAATTTGAATTGAAATTTTTAATTGAAATCTGTGACGTAAGATGCACCAATAGTGTTCGAATTTTACCACAATTCAAAAGTTTGTTTACATTTTTAATTTAGGGTTGAGCGAAAATTTGCACGCGCATTTTTGGCAACGCATAAATTGTTGTTTGTATATTTTTTTTCATACGTTGTTCAAAAATATTTAGAAATAATTATGAAATATATTATCTGAAAATGTAAAATTAATTTTTCTCAAACTTATTAAATTTTTTTGTGCGAAATATTTTACTGTGTTAAAAAAAGTTTTGGGGGCCCCTAAAATTTGGGGGCCCTAACCCTAACCCTAACCCTAAATTCGCCACTGGTTCTTATAATATATTATTATGTTATTTTTGTTGTAATTATTAGTTGCAGTGTTGTGTTGTTGCCAATTTTTGTTCTTTGCGTTCTATTCTATTTTTTTCTAGATCATGAAAGTTTTATATCCATTTTTAGTGAGCAATTTAGTGACTCTATTAAATTCTGTTCGCCGGTTTCAAAAGAATGCCTATAAGCTTGGTTTACAAAACAGAGAGCGTGCTCTCTAGATATGTTTGACACAATTCACTATTTTTATTAAGACATAAAACATTTTTTTGGTGATTATTGAAGTTTTAAGTTCATTATGAATATTTTGTTTTTCTGAAACTGGTGGTCAGGTTGGGTGTCCGGATGTAAAAATTTTCCCCAAAATTTTTCTATGCCATCACAAACAAAAACAGCGGCCCCTAGTCCCCAGCAAGCCTTAAGTGGTCAAGGGGTGCTAAGAATCAAAACTCTT